CATAAAATACGACCTGAATTGTATTGAAGCTGTCTTTCACAAATGGTATAAAGAAAGTAACAAACATTTAAGTTTTGGCAAAAATTTTCAAAGATGATAACTCTCATAGTTTGAGTTTTTAATTATTCATGGATTGATCTAGGCATACATAAACATGCCATACAAAATAAGGAGGCGTTATTTTAAATTACTCCCTAGAAGTGCAACGCAGTCGGAACATTCAGTGCTTGCCAGTAGCCTAGTTTATGTTCCAATTATATCCTGATCGCCAATTTGATCCGACATAATTAGGCAATTTTCAATAGACGCAGAGTGATCATTGATGAGATAGTTTTTGAAACTAATTTCGGATTGAAAGTGCTATAATGTGATCTCTTTTTAGATCGATTAGTTTGCCAGAAAATTACCTTGCGATCAGCTTCGATTTTTTAGTTTCTAGGTTTCCTCCTATTTTAATTGAATGAGTTTTTCATCTGAAAGGGTTTTTCATTTTGATAATCATAACCATCCTAAAAAATTGCTTCCAGTATAGGTCCACAATAATCGAAAAATTTTTTAAAAGAGATAATCAACTTAAAAGGACCTTGTCTGGGAGATCGTAATTAGATAAAGTAGGTCTCAGAAGTCACTGAAAGTAACATGGATGTTGATGTAGTACGACCGGTATTTTTAAAAATATCGAGTTGAAGAAATTGTTTTGTGACTAATTTCTTTGCTCCTTTTTGATAATTATGTGAATAAAATTTAACAGTCAAAGCTGAGAAATTTTAAAAACGCAATTTTTTTCACATCCGCATTTTTGCAGTTTTGCACATCCGCATGTTTGACATGTAGATATATTTACATCTGAATAATCAAAAGAATTTTTCGGTGTTTTATGTCTGCTAATCATTTCAATTCTGGCTGCAAACTTGTTATAATGGGTGTGTAGGCCTAGAGCGAGAAACAGATAGTGTTCCAGGTCTAGATTGTCTTTGATGTTCTTTTCCCCTTCCCTTGAGACGATCACCGTCTGGTATTTTTTCTGAGAAGAGGAACTACTCGGAAGAGGAACTACTCGGTGTGCAGAAGAAACTAGGATTTAGCATGGTCCTTGTAAGAAGATGTCAGGCTGAAGTTATAGGTTTTGTTTTTCCAGAAATTGAATCAAAGACTACTTGCAAAACTTACTGACATTTTTTTCGAAGTCTCGCTTTTCATTGTTTATTTCATTGATTTCTAAATAAAAACTATTGTTTGAGTGTTAGTTAATTATCAAAAAAGGAAGAACAAAAATTTTAATGTTTGATAAAAATTTTTGCAACAGCAGTTTTGAAGTTTACAATCAAATTTTCGGTTGTGTAAATGTTCTGCCAAATACAATTTCTGCTTGTTGTGCACAATTTAAATTTTCAGCTCATGTATCCCTTTCAAAAAGACACCTATCCACCCACATACAAATGCCCAGCGTCGACCAGACTAATTTTATTGACTATTGATTGTCATTGACTCCCCGCCGTTGATTATATCATGCCATCGCGTCTCTGAGAAGCATGTAATTCCATTAAAATCAATACCGTCACAATTATTCAAATGGTCCAAATGTTTTTTTCTAGTAGCTCGCGTTTATTTCTACTGTGCTTTAACCAGAGATGGAAAAATAAAGAGCTCTTTTGACCTTGAGACACTGTTCTAATGGACTTTGTTGAATTTTTTAAGAACTTGAATAAGTTTTTTCTAAGAAGTAAAAATATTAGCTTTAATTGTTCAAACTACTGAAAATGGGAAGCTGGGTCTTCGGGATTGTTTGAGTTTTTTTTTCTGTTTTCCATAAAAATTTAGGTACCAAAAACAATCATCTGAGTGAGTAATATATCATTTTAAAGACTTTTGAGCCATGGTTTAGCCAGATGAAAATCTTCTAAAAAGTTATCCCAAAATGTGTTAAGAAAACTCGATTTGAATAATTAGTCTAAATCTCATTTTGAGTGAGCAAAGAAAACGAGTAAAGCAAACCTGTAAATTTTATAATAACAAAAGTTCAGTTAAGTAAGAAAAATAATTAGTTTTACACCAGAAAAACTAAATTTGAAGGCTTTAGTTAACGGTTCTAAGGCTTTAGTTAAAGGCTTTAGTCTACCAGTTCTTTTACTCCTCTCATCTCACCAGGTGCAGGAAACTACACAAATGAAAAAATGAAGTTTCTAATGAATGTGGTCGAAGCATTCAGTGCTAATTGCACAACAACAGGCTACCGCTAATGACAAAAATGGATTGTAATCGATTTTATACAAAAAATATAGCAGATACATTAAAAATATAGCAGATAAATCATGAAATTGATGAAGTTTGATACAAAAATGTAGATTAAAAATGAATTGCAATCGATTCTAAATCGATTTAAATGCTTTGTTTTCTCTTTTTTTGGTTTCATTTTCCTACGGATTTTAGAAACAAAAAAATGATTTGAATCAATTTTTATTGATTTTTTTTTGTATAACTTTTTCTTACAGATTTTATTCAGACTAGGTTTTTTAGGCTATCAAAAAATAGAGAAATAGTGGAAAAATGTTGCAGAATTCTTTTTAATTGAGTTTTCGTTTCGATTTTTAGCTTGCTTGAAAATAAGCCATGAGAATAACTAATAAATGTTTTTTTTGCAACATAAATCAATTTTGAAATTTTGAGTTTTTTAGTAATATATTATTTGCTTAACAAAATTGAGACCAGAATATTGATAGTGAAATTGATGTTTGGAAAAATTTTGCATAATTTTACTTCTCATTACCGCGGGAAACCTTATTTTTGCTGCACAATTTGAAAGGGAATCTCTTAACTGCAAAAGTTTTCGGTAAAAAATCTTTAATGACAATCTCTCTCTATCTCTCTCTCTCTCTCTCTCTCTCTTTCGCTCTCTGTAGCTCTGATGGAGACTTTCTTGAGTATTCAAATTTGCTCAAGCTTCAAAACAAAAGGAGGAGTAGGAATTAGTTTAAATAGCATTTGTTGAAATTGTGATTATTTGTACTACACTGCGATGGTCTATTTATGCAAAAAAAAATGATTTTCATTTCTAAAGAGAAATCAATTTTATATTTTCTAATTCAGTTTACATATTTAAATAGGCTATCGTAAAGCAATTTTATTTCAATATTTTTATAATCGATTATAAAATCTTATTTCGCCAAAAATTGTTCACACGATATGAAAAAATAAATTAATTGTATCATATGGGTTTTTGAATTTTTTGCCAACAACAAAATCTTCAAAAATGAGAAGTCTTGCCAAAATATGCCTCATCTGATCACAAAGTTTTATCAGGAAACTGAAGTTTCAAATAGATCCTTTTAAATTAGTTGGAAAATTCCCGTGATAGATGAAAAACAATTTTTCCGATTAAAACATGAAACTGAAGCAATGGGTTGAAACTTTTCGGCTTGAAGAAATTGAAATTGTATATCAAGAAACAGTTCTTATGGAGAAAAAACAAAGAAAAAAAACAAGTTTTAAATTTGAGTTAATTAAAAAAAGTCAGACTGTTTTCTCTTTTTTTTCTGATAAAGAGCAACTTCTACGAAAAGGTTTATATAAGAGCAATTCAGATGCAAGGTCGAAGACAAAATGGGCTAACAAATGGCTTGTAATCGATCATGATTGATTTTTTGTGCAAATCACTTCTACTGGGATAAAAATATCCAATTATAATTATCCTTATTGATTATAATTGTAACGAAAACTAGATGAATTAAAATTTGATTACTAGTGATTAAAATGTATTCTAATTAATTATAATGTAATTCAAAAAAAGAGATTTTAATCAATAATTATTGAATAAAAGCAATTTTTTCTCAATTTTGGACTGTATTAAACTCATAATATAATCAATTATTAACGCTTGAAACTGGATGCGGGTACGCTTTTAGACATTTGATAGAGATGGCCAGATTTGTCTTTAATACTCAAGGGCGGATTTAGGAAATTCTCGTGGGGGGAGGCGGATTTTAAAAAAAATTTCGAAAATATTGTCGACCGTTTTTTTGTTTTGTTCGACAAAATTGATTTTCCGAGCTCTCCCAACGCACTCCAAAGACCCTGCTCTCGCCAAATCTACTGCACGACAGGCAAAATTTTGAAAAAACGGTTGGAAAATAATTTTGATTAAAAAAAACGGTTTTTTTTTCCACGCGCGCTCTCCTTTCAAAATTAGTATATTTTGGCGCCGAAGGGGCTTTTAGAAACAATTTTAGGGTACGACCAGAAATGGATATCTCAAAATAGTTCAAGGGATCTTTTGGGTCGGCAGGGTGTCGAATCCCTTAAGAAAAAACGTCAAACCTCCCCCCCCCCCAAAAAAAAAATCCTCCCCTGTTAGTACTGTTTTTTTGTGAGGACCCAACAACCTTGATTGTACCTCACGGTATAAAATTTTAATTTAAAGTTTGTATGAGATAAATGTTTTATAATTGTGTAAACTTTTTTTTATAGTTTAATTTTTTCTCCCTATAAAATGTCTAATATATCTTTGGCTCAGCTATTTATATCAAATTAGATCAAAAAAAACAAATGATTATCTATGGAACTGAAATTGATACCCGATGATTATAGTTCTGAATCTTCTTGAAAATTATTTCCCATTTACCTGTTATTCACCCTTCAAATCAAAACTTTCTGTTTATTTTCATTGTTAGCTTGCTTACTACTTATTTACCCTAAAAGGGCTAAAATCGACTCATGCGGAGAGTTCGCCATTATCAATAAAGTGATTAATTACTTAAACCTACGTCAGCCTCGAAAACCATTGATGAAAATGCTCTTTGTGCTGTCAGTCAATAACGCTCCGGATTTTGTGGATTGCATTTCTAAACATAAAAACGCGATCGAAGCTCCTGGAGTAAAAATCGAGATCGAAGCTCCTGGAAGAGCCTTTAAAGCTATCTGATTTACAATGACAGCGGACAATTTAGCCCGGGGACATTTGATATGAAAGAGTGATTTGATATCATTCAATTCAACTTCAGACTGCCATGGCAGACAATAAATCAGACACCCATGTAGCTCCTCAGATCACTATCTGTCATTTAGCGGTAAGTGAGATCCATATCTGTTCACTACTTTTCACTCCACTACACAATTATTTCATTTTAATTAAGATATATTGCGCCATGGATCGATCCATGGCTTCCAGCGTAATACACTGTCAAAAAATCAATCGACGCTGAAATGATACATAAACCCATGACGTAATGAGCTTATCTAAATTGGACACCTATGGTGATTGGCATTTGCTGGTCTGAATGCTTTTTTGCGGAGTTGACCATAATAAGCTTTCATGGCTGCTCGTATTATAGTGAAGCCGCGAATCCTTTTTTACGAAGGTATTCTGTTTTTAGATAAAATATATTAAGGGAAATTTAAAAAAGCTTTCAATCCATACGACAGTATAAAGTAAAAATTGATGTTGAGACTAGAAACGCATTTGGTACATATGGTCCGCGCCTCTTCAGAATTTGCAAGCATTTCTTAGTTTGACTAAATCGCCGCCTAATCTTGGCGCTATTAGAAAAACAAGAAACAGCTCCCATTAATTGTTCCTAATTGACAACTACAAAACCACCGATAACTAAGAAAAAACGTTAGTGAACTACTTTTAATTAAGAGTGACTGAGACTCTGTATCCTAATTAGTCAGGTTAGCTTATTTTTCATCAAAAGGTCAAAATTATTTTTATTATGAACAATTGTCACAATCCAAACAAGTTTTACATCCTTTTTCAGCTCTTTTGGTTATATCGCACGACTGACAAATCATGTCATTAAGTAACCTATTTTGGTTTGACTCCAGGGCATCATTATTTTTCAGATGCATCAAAACATGTTATTTAAAAAATTTCAATCATTGGTTTGAACAAAAGGGCATCCCCCATTTTATATTCGCCATTAATTTCTTCAAAATTCAGAACAAAAATAACTGGAACGCTATCAATCAATTTTATGCTTGACAAAACTTTGTGATTATTTGCATGAGATTATCATCAATTTCGGGAGGGGGGAAAAGATGGCCGCAAAGCTTCAATATTTGTTTTTCTAGCCAACATAACGGTATCATAGAGAAAGGAAACTGATTTTAACAAATACTTAATGAAGATGGACTTATTTTTGGGGTGTATCAATTAGCATAAAGCTCGACTAGCATAAAAATTTTAAATTTGAAATTCGTATCGATTAGCAGAAAAATCTAAACACAAATTCATTTATAGTAAAAATTATCGTTACACATAGAAACATATATGTCAATCAGTTTGTCATACAATTTGCGCGTCGATCAGTGTTCGGTTCAAGCCATGCCATTTCAGGTCGGGGTGTGGCTGCATCACAATTTATGTGAGATATGAAATTTATTTGCTCTTTGATTGGTTAGTTCTCAGTTGCTCAAATTTCTAATTCTCAGAATTGCATCCCTCAATTTAAACGGATTATTTTTGTTTGTATTTCTGAGAAATATTGCTATAAAATTTATGCTAGTCGAGCTTTCTGCTAGTCGAGCCGTCACCTCATTTTCATCTTATTGCTGTGTTTTCAAGTTAGTATTTCGTCACTATAGGCTCAAAGAGATGAATCAAATGATAATAGCAAATATGGGTTGCTAATCCACCCACATTCAGGGGCGGATCTAGGATTTTCTCGAGGGGGGGGGCGGATTTTCAAAAAAAATTCGAAAATTTTGACTTTTTTTTTTTGAATTTTTTTAGGTCGACCAAATAGATTTTTTGAGCTCTCCCAAAGCACTAATTTGGCCCTATTTTGGCACTAAGTCAAAAAAGCCGTTTTTGGGCACTTTTTGAAAAATTTTGACAAAAAAATCGCGTTTTTTTGGCGCGCGCTCCCCCTCAAGGTTAGTATATATTGGCGCCGAAGGCGCCTTTAGAAAAATTTTAGGGTCGGTCGGCCAAAAATGGATTTCTGAAAAAGTATCAAAGGGGGGACCCTTTGGGTCGGCAGGGGGTCGAATCCCTGAAGGGAAGGCGTCCGCCCCCCCCCCCTAAATCCGCCCCTGCCCACATTGATCTTTCTTTTTTGACATAAACAAAACAAAAAATATTTTAGAAAAAAACGGATGCTTCGTTGATGGAAGTTAATTTTTTAACTTTTCTTTTATCCTTATTTTGCCATTTTGTAGAGATGGGGAGATGTTCCAAACTGATATTTAAATGAAATAGCAAAAGCATTGTGAAAGCTTAAAAAGGAACATTGTAAAACGACCGAAATAAGCAAGTTTCACAGTGTCGCAGGAAGAACGTAAAAAACAATTCGTATACTGTATATAGGAAGATCGTCTAATTAAGTGAACAGATTCGAAATTAAGAAACATCTTCAGATCGATTCATTGAGAAATCGGTAACCAGGGTAGTAGTATATGTGTGGGGGAGAGTGGGGAGGGGGGGGGGGGGGGGGGGTGGTTGGTGACCCCCATAACCTATCGGATTGCTGTAGAGAATCTTAAAACATGGTAAGGCCGGGCGCCAAAAATTTTTCCTTACCATCTGAAACCTTACCATCTTAATACATAGGAAACCTCTTCCCTATCTTAATACATAGGGAAATCTATTCCCTATCTTAATACATAGGTTAGTGACCGGATGCTCTATTCCCTATCTTAATACATGGGGGTCACCAACCACACCCCCCCCCACTCTCCCTCACACATATACTACTCAGGGTTCATGTGCCAGAAACTCAAGAGTGGTGCGACCCCCTCACCAACCAAAGGGTCTTTTGATATTCTTCTATGATATCCATTTTCGGCCGACCAACCCTAGAATTTTTCTAAAGGCGTCTTTGGCGCCACTATAAAGTAACTTTAAAGGGGAGAACGCAATTTGTTGGTCATAATTTTCCAAAAAGTGCCCAAAAACGGCTTTACTGACCGGTTTTTTTTTTCTGAAAATTTACAAAATATTTTCCAGAAAATCTACAAAATTGGTTCTTTTTTACTTTTCTAGGAGCGCTCGCGGGAAAATCGTTTTGGCCGAACTAAAAAGTTTCCCCGAACTTTTTCATTTTTGTTTAATTGCGACCCCTCCCCTCTAGAAAAAATCATGTCACGTCGAGTTAGCAATATTTAAAATGGTCATCAATGAGTGCAAATCCAGTGCTGTAAATGGATAGGTTTGGCCCCTAAAATGTATGACGCGTGAACTAAAGAGTGAAATGAGTGGCAACAGAAATGGCACCAAAACTATTACAAAAACTGAAATAGACACCAAAAGCTAGAAAAAAAACTAATTACCAACTAATTTTTTTCCCCAAAATAGCAATACAACATCAAGGATAGAAGCTATGCTTTGATTGTTGATTATTGTTCCTACTTTTGAATAAAGTGACGAAATATGGATCTTTTCGGTTTTAACCTCACCCCTAAATAAAAACTGTGAAATTTATTTTTTTTTCCAAACTGGGATCGACATTCTTACAAAACACAAAGTTGATATCTAGAGCCTTCAATAAACTCAGAAAACATCAAAAGACGGCAACTCAGAGCGCATTTGGACTGATGTTTGTGAAAGTTATTTGAAGAAAAAGACAAAAAAACAGGGAAAAGGACCTATTTGAGGCTAAGTTAGATGATTGTGCTTCGTTTAGTCGTGCGCCATATTGATTATTTAATCTAAGCCAGCATTTCTTGGTAATACTGATCCAATTTTACAACAAATGTTGATTTCGACTTTTTATCAATTATGGGGGGCATAACCGAAAAGACCAGGGGTAGATTTAGGGGTGGGGGGGAGGCAACGGACGCTCCTCTCAGGGATTCGAATCCCTGCCGATCCAAAGAGTCCCCCATTTGTACTATTTTGAGATATAAGTTTTTTCGAAATACCTTGAAATATTTGTTCTCGGGTGGTCTTTTTTCTCCCGACAAACTTAACTACCAGATTCTTTAAATAGAATTTTTAACAAGCAATACTTGACGAATTTTTAAAATATCACTCAAAAAAAATTGTTATCCTCAGCTCAATTGTGAAACAAAATTTTCACCTGTGATCATTTTTCGCAAAATTTTGGGGGTTTAACGGTTGAACATTTGGGATAGTTAGGCGATTCAATCTGTATTAGAAATCGTTCCAAAATGGAATGAGGAACGCTTTTTGATCAATTTAAAAATTTGCTGTGTGCAATATGGCGCACAGAAAAAATTGGCAAAAAAAAATTCAATTAATTTGGAGTTCAGACAATTCAGCTATTTTTTTTTCAAAATACTAGAGAAGAAAAAGTCGGAATTGGAGTTACTTCTCAGTGTAAGGTCGCCGCTGGGCGCGCTATTCACGCATGGCAGCTTCGCGGCTATAACCGGCTCTTAATTTCAGTTAGAGTCCTACACACTGTTGGCATGCTCGCAACATATTGGCGCGACTGTGGCGCTCAGTGTTATTGGTTGAATTATCTCTGGCTGAACTCTCTGCATCTTTTGCTGGAATTGTCTGAATTTTGTATCGGCTGAATTGTCTTTGGCAAAAATGTCCGGCCGCGATGCAAAACATTCCGAATATATGAAAAATTTTGGTTTGTGTTTGAAACCGAACGCAAGTGGCAGAGACCTTGGTTTACTCGAAGCACCAAAGGTTGGACGGTCTTGCATTTACAATGCATAAAATACGACCTGAATTGTATTGAAGCTGTCTTTCACAAATGGTATAAAGAAAGTAACAAACATTTAAGTTTTGGCAAAAATTTTCAAAGATGATAACTCTCATAGTTTGAGTTTTTAATTATTCATGGATTGATCTAGGCATACATAAACATGCCATACAAAATAAGGAGGCGTTATTTTAAATTACTCCCTAGAAGTGCAACGCAGTCGGAACATTCAGTGCTTGCCAGTAGCCTAGTTTATGTTCCAATTATATCCTGATCGCCAATTTGATCCGACATAATTAGGCAATTTTCAATAGACGCAGAGTGATCATTGATGAGATAGTTTTTGAAACTAATTTCGGATTGAAAGTGCTATAATGTGATCTCTTTTTAGATCGATTAGTTTGCCAGAAAATTACCTTGCGATCAGCTTCGATTTTTTAGTTTCCAGG